ATTTTTCGACATTTTCCATTTGAAGCCTCATATACTTGATACTCGAACTGTGAGTAGAGATTTTCTCGTTCACAGATTTGACTTGAGTAAGTAACTCATCGTATTTTGCCGATAGAAATTTAACAGTTTTGTTCATTTCATCGAAGGTTTCCTTCAAGTTTTCTAATGTAGAATGAATTGGCGATAGTTCAATCTTGCTTTGCCTTGCGCTTGTGCTTCAGTTTGTGCTTGTCGCTAGCGAGAACAATGCTTTAAAGATGATCGTTACTTGTCGCAGCTTAATATCGCTAATATGGTATTTCTCACCTGAATTTGTGCTGTGCCAGACAAGCTGTTGCTATCTCCTCTAAAGACGTCAGATCTTTGTTTAATGCAATGACTGATGGATCAGGATCAACAGCATCCATATTGCACACGTAACTAGACTGTTTAACAGGGGAAAAATTAATGCTAAAAAATTATGATGCAAGCGACACCTTACTGTGGTTTTCGGTTTTCTGCGAACTGCGACATTTCAATGGCTGTTTTGTGAAATTTGCCTTTCTCTGCCGTCAGTCAAGAATATAAAATGTTCCGACTGATTATTTTTGATTGACAGCAGCGAAAAAGCAAATTTAAGCATGCAGCTCGCAACTACTGAGTTTGCAGAATATGGAAAACCACACGAGTAAAAGGGCTTAGCGTTACAATTCGTGTACGACGTATATACAGATATACTCTTTATGATTTATATAGCGCCCTTCCAATGTGAATATACTCAAAGGCGCTTTACATTGAGTTGTTAATGACAGATTGCTTTTATGCAATTTACAAGCATGAGAGATGGTTAGTATGAAGTGTAGGTACTGAGGGTGGTCACTGTCAGGGTTTCTTTACGTCGTTGATTAGTAATGACAGACACCCTGTGATAACAATGAAGGACATTTAATGTTACTCATTGTTGTCCATACTAATAAGAAATCCAATCATCACACATGCATTAGGCAACTTAAAGGCAACATTATCCATTTCAGAGGGGACCGCTTCCAAGTTCACCATCTTGGGAGAAAAGAACCTCATGCGAATATTACTTGTTTTCACTTGCCCCTAAAGCCTTCATTGCTAATGTGTGCTCGACTCCGCTATGTGTAATTCTTACGCTACAATCGTGCTCTCCCGACTATCCGCGTGCATCCAGAACACGATCTAAGCACGCTAAGCATTGATCACTCCTTAATCAAGAGTCGACTCTAATACAACACATACAACACAACAAAAAACGTAGGTGCATAGACCTTTTCTGAGACAGCAAACGCGGTGCATTGTGGTCTAGCTTCGGTACAAACATCTTTTGTTCATCATGCCTTATATGGTGTTGTTCGTACCGAAACTAGACCACAATGCATCCTGTTTATCAAACTCAGAAAAGGCCTATATTCCGTACCATTCTGACAGCAGGCATGAGATAATAAAAACAATGACAACGTATCTCAAGGTGAAGAACAAGAATACACGTTTCTGCTAGCTGCTGGAAATCCTCTGCAAGAGAAGTCAGTGATCTGAAAAATAACAACAAAGACGGGGTTAGAAGGGAATTCCTTACATCTTTCTTAAGAAATTTATCTGTTTTAGATGATTGCCGCCCAGACATAAACTTTCGTTTTGGTCACCAAAAACATAGAATATTCAAAACGCTCTTTAAGGTGTGGAGCGAGAGGATGGGTCGAATTGAAATCACCCTTCTTAAAGGCGAGACGTCATTAGAAAAAGGCGCATGCTCAGTAGTCAATATATTAGCATTTTAGAACCGCTACTTGATAACTTTTTTTTTCGACAACAGGAAGGCAGTCTAATGTTAGCTGATTATGTAAGACATTTTTAAAGGTTTGTGTGTGAATTAGCTTAGGTTTCTCGGGCCTCTGGAACCTTCGTTCTTTACCACAGGGATCCCGACACCGAAGCTGGAGCAATGGGTACAAAGTAACACTTTTTCAATGTTGACATCCAAGGCAGAGGTAACCCGTATCAGAAAGATAGATTATTACTTTGTACTTAAGTACCATAGCCGGGTTCCTTGTGCCTGTATGTAAGGATATGGGGTCGGGTGGTGTTTTGGTTTCAAAGATCTGAAGACCTGTTGGGGCAATGTATTTTTGAAAGTAGTGGAAAGAAGCTAACTTACTTGAGGATTTCGTCTGTCACGGGAGGTATTTCTTGCTGTGTTGTTGAAAGCAGAAAAAATCAATACAGAAAATTAACTCATAGATATTTTATATGTTTAAAGGTCCCTCTACTTTGTAATGCATGACCTTTACTGCTAATGCAAAATATTGTACATACCAATATTAAGGGGGAAAAAACAACTGGGTCGGATTGGTGTTGCAGTGTATCGTGGGACTGTTTGAGGGGACACATTTCCAAGATGGAATGTATAATATATATAACCTAAAACAGCCCCACAATGCACTGCAATATGCCAACTCGGTCCAGCTTTTCCCCCATCCTCGGAATGGCTACAGCTAATATATATATCAACTTTAATATTCATTACGTAAAGCAGTTTTTTTAATTAAAGAGCGAATTGCCTAACTTAGTTTGGGTGCTGCCTTAGGCCCTGTTCACACGAAGGTAGGGTGACCCTACTGCTGGGGTTAGCACTTTTGGTTTTTGGTGTCCTCTGTATGAAAGTAAACAGAAGACTTGTCCCTAGCACCAGGGTCACACGGTTACCTCGTGTAAGGAGGCCCTTTGAGTATGTGTACTTTATAACTTATCTATTTATGCTTGAGATACTCAATTGCAAAATTATCGTCTGGTTTAAAACATAGAACATAAGTAGAAGATTAGGCCGAAAGGTATCCTGGGAAATGACAAACTTATCTTATGGGTCCCAAGTGTAAGAAGGGTGGATGGCACTATCCAACGAATAAATCCTTATCCAGTGGGTACATTTATTGAATAACCGCATCCATTTACACACTTGATAAGGATGTATCCTTCGGATAGCGCAATACACCCTTCGTACAACTGGGCCCTGATGTATTTAATTGAAATACAGCCGATATGAAACAGGTGTTAAAACCCTATGCTTTCTGTCAGTGCAACAATTTATGAATATCCCACGAGTTGCATCACTAGATACATCTAATTAACGTACTTCCCATGTACCATTTCAGTTTCGGCTTTACGTTCTATGTTTTCAACCCGGTAATGATTTTACAATTGAGAATTTATCAGAAGGCATTAACTTAATAGTTATCATTACCAAGAGTCTTTTAGGATTTATTTAGAAGTATTTAAGGTTTATTTTTATCAGCTTTTAAAAACAGCATTGTTCAAAACAACTCGTACTTTGACTTACCCAATTCTTTCCCTGCAGAAACATGAATCCAGATCTACAGTACACTTCCTTTTGATGTGGGTTTAGCTATATCATATATTAGTTTTAAGAGTAAAGTCAACACTCACAATTGTTTATTTTTATAATGCATTATTCTTTATCAAATATTTAGTTATATCTCCAGGTTCAGCCCTTTTATAGCGGCTTGGGTAGATTCGGTATGACTGTGAAAAATTACGGCATAGCGCGGCTTGTTCTTGCATTCTTGGAGTGTAACCACACGGCTCAACATCCCCTTGAGATATAGATAACGATGAAACAGCTAGCGTATAGGTCCGTCTAACAAGAGAAGCTAAAGAGTGCTTTGTTATCGTCAACCAACAAGACGGCCATGACGTAACAGGCACCTTAACTATGGTCATTTTTCACAGTCAAATCAAATCTACTTTGATTTCAATAAATTCATCTTGTTAGTATTTTGTTTTGCAAAAGATGCTGCTGTTGCTTTATTTTAATGACTTACGTGCAGTACATCTACACTTATCTTATATTATCTTATTCATTATTTTATGTTAACGAACTGGCCATTTCCTTATAGCTGTTTAAGGAACAAGATGTGTGTCTTACAGAAGGAGGTTTGTTTGCTCTGTGTTGTGACTGTGGTAGAGACCCCTCAAATATTTTCCTTTATAATCATCGCCGTCGCATTGGTGGTTCTTTAGTAAATACTGCCAAAATGGCCACCATATCTTTGTCTCTTGATCCTATTCTTGGTTTGCAATCAATCCCAAGAGAGCACAATAACAAAAGGGATGTCCGCCATGTTGGAAGATATAACAAAAGAATTCATTGAAAAATCTTTTGTCAAATTCTTCCAACATGGCGGCTACGACGTCTATTGCAAACGAAGAATTCTTGGGAATGCTTTCAAACCATCAATACCAGTGCCCTCCTGAATTGCTGGTTTTCAATCATTCACAAGGGAGTGAAATAGCAAAAAACACGGCGGCCATGTTGGATGATACAACAAAAGAATTCATTGACAATTCTTTYGCTAAAATCATCCAACATGGCGACTATGACGTCATGTGCAAACGAAGAATACTGGCTATGCTACTGGTCCATTAGCATGTGATGACTTTCGATGCGCTTGCCCAGAAAATTTAACTAAATACGTTTTTTTTTAACTTTATAGAGATTATTATTAACAGATGAAGCATCATCATGTGCGCAAAACACAGGATTCGATTAAGCATAATTTCATTGATTTACCATTTACAAAGAATTTGTCATTTTATGGCATTATATGACAAATTATTTACACTGATTTAYTTCATGCTTACTTTTTTAAAAGGCATGAGGTGTATGACAATATTACAGGGATTCCCATTGACGTTTCAAGTACTATTGCCTTCTTACCGGGAAAGTGTGAGCTTCAAAAGGTACCTGTTTTATAAATTGCTGCTTTCAAAAGCGTCGTGTTGATTCAATTTAACATTGTTTTATTTCATTGACTTTTGGGAGTGATTTCAAGATGAAACCCAAAACAATTGCGACAGGAGTGACAAGACAGTAAGAGCACCAACAGCAACAGCAACGGTAAAAAACAATAGCTGCTGCAACAGCAACAGCAACAGCAACATCAACGACAGCAACCATAACAACAGCAGCAACACCGGCAACAACTGCTTCAACAATATTCGCAAAAGCTATGTACAACGTTGCAACAGCTACAACAGTAGCAACAGAAATGACAACAATGCGTAGTTTGAAATGGGAAAAGATTATAACCAAACGAATCAGAAACTGCCAAATTTGATTGCTAGTAAGCGATTATCGATGATGAAGTTTTGTTCGTGGGAAAAACTAAAGAACCTATATATGCCAAATGAAGCAATTGCTTTGTCTTACAAATCAATCTAACAGCAGCTTATAACTAGCTCAGGAATGTTGTCTACATTGGGAATCCCTGCAAGATGGGAAGAAAAGATAATGTGTGTATAATGAAATATTATCATACTCACAGCTTTGATCCTTTCCTGTGTCTCTGAGGTAACAATACTGATGGACGTTGACTGAGCTGACAAACCGGTACTAAACAATCGAATGTGGTTCCCAAACCATTCCTTTGTGTAAGAATCAATCAAAAACAAATTTAGGTTGGGGCTTCCTTCAACTAAGGAATGTATACACCTATTTTGTAAAAAGTTGTCAGTCGGAGATCGCAGATGCGCTATCTGAGAATAAACAGAAATTTTGTTCTTTTATGTTTTTTTTTTTTTTTTGCTGAAAAACAAAAAAGCACATTTCTAACTCTAAGATCGTGCTTCATGTTCCAATCTAAAAGGAAACTACGTTGTATGGTCGTTAATATGTTACATTTTGCAGCGTGCTACCCTGTCTCAGATTTCAGACCTCAAACCGACGACATTTTTGGAAATACCGTATTTACTCGGTTACTGCTATCTTCATAAGCTTGCGAACTCGCTACCTGCGAGCTGCACGCTGAAGTTTGGTTTACACACCGCATGTCACATATGCATGGAACTTCGAAGGGGGGGGGGGGGGGACGCTTATTCGGGGGCGCCGTTTATTTGAGTCCACCGTTGAATCGGGACAGCGCTTAACCGAGTAAATACGGTAGGTGTATATCGTGTTCATACAGAATAGCAAACGAGTCGCTCTTATTGCCTTCATTCTCTAGATTGGGCTTCCTGTGCTGCAATAGGCATTGAACTTACCATACTTTCTTGAAGATTAGCAAGTGTTTTAAGATCTCCAACATCCAGAAGAACTTCAGACTTTGACAAGATGTGTTCTCCTAGGTTACTAGTCAATATTTCTGATCCCTAGTAACGTCAAAAAGGAAATCAATAAGCTAAAGGAAATTTCACCCCTAGAACGAGGAAAACATGTTCAAGCGCACACAATATGACTTCAGAAAGCCTCAGCACGCCTTTTCATCAGGGACAGCCGGCATCAGCAATAGACCTCTTTACAGTACGTCGGAAAGCAGCTCAATTTGGAGGACATAACCCTAGGTTTCCAATTCACAGAAGATAGGAATTCTTTTGTTTTGTTCTCCAAATTGAGCTGCTTTGAAGTCACATGCAAGGGGTTGAGTTGAACCCCCCACCCCACCCTTCAGATCTCCTGAATTTCTAGTATTACATTCTGCCGTATTCCTTGTTCACAGCTTACCCGTGCATTTCTGATCTTGACTGAGCCCCCACCCTCCCACCCCTCAGATCCCCTGAATATCTAGTATTACATCCTGACGTATTCCTTGTTCACGACTTACCCGTGCGTTTCTGATCTTGACTGAGCCCCCCCTCTCCCCCCACCCCTCAGATCCCCTGATTCTCTAGTATTACATCCTGACGTATTCCTTATTCACGACTTACCCGTGCATTTCTGATCTTGATTGCCTCCAGGTCTTCTTCCTCTTCCTATAATATTTATTTCAAACTCATGACTCACTAGGCAAGATATTATGTATGGATGGATGGATGGATGGATGGATGGATGGATGGATGGATGGATGGATGGATGGAT